GGGTTTTTTATCATCCCTCACTTGGATTCATGCGGCGACAAAAAAGCACAACTCCGCACAAGCTTGAGTAATACGCGGTGCAGCGGGGACCAACGGGAACGAATCTGGACTAATCTGGCAACTAAACAATTGCATCAGAATTCCTCACCCACTTGGAATAATAGGATGCAGCGTGGACTAGGGGGCGATACTTGGAATACTTTGAACTAATTGGAACGATGTCTGGACAAAGGGGGCGAAGCGTGGACTAATGGGGAGCAATCAGGACAAATGGGAACCATTCCTGGACACCCTGAAGGAATGGGGCGATTCGGGCGACTAAGACATACTAAGACGTTAGCAGCTTGGACTGATGAGGCGAAGCTTAGCCTGATGGGCACGATGACTGATGGGCACGATGACTGTGCGAATGGGCGAAGCTTGGACTAAATTAATGGGAACGATGCCTGCACGAATGGGGCAAAGCTTGAACTAATAGCAAATGGCGGGGCAAGTCAGAAATTCAATCAGAACTCCGAATCCGCATGGACTAACGGGGCGAGGCTCAGACTAACGAGAAAAATCCCTGGATGAATGGGGCGAAGCCTGCACTATGATGGGGCGACTGCAAAATGAATCAGGACGACAGGAACAACACAACCGATACAACCGAACACGACCAACCGAGCCGACACAACCAACAGGACCAACACGACCAACACGAACAACATAACCGACACGACCAACACGTCTAAAAAAACCGAAACCAACAACACGAACAACACGACCAACACGACTAACCTTACCGACACGGCCAACCTTACAGACACGACCAACGCGACCGATACGGCAAAACGACCAACGCGACATGACGCGACCAACACAACCAACGTGGCCAACCCCGGTCCACCACGACCAACCCAACCGACACGACCAACGCAACAACGCGACCAATCTGGCTCCACCACAACCAACCCGACCACGACCAGAACGACCAATGTGACTGACACCATCACACGACCAACACGACCGGGAGGGTGGGATTCCGCCGTCGCGTCGCTTGAAGCTCCTAACGCACCCCTCCCCCCGCATCCCCACTAGTGTACCTGACTCGCCTATAACTCCCGATCACACGATCGATCAATTCGAATAGAAGTCAATGACGGGTCAATCCTAACCTAAATTGAGGGACCGGAGAACCCCACATGTGTGGTTGGGCATGAATCTCAGTGATAATATTATTAGGATGCCGTCGCCAGCCGAAATAAGAAGATATGTTCGAAGAGGAGATGAGAAGACCCAACGATTGTCGAGCGATGCGAGGAGCTAGCAACGCGAACGTGAAGAAAACACATGTTTTCATTTTATGACACATGATCACCATCTCGCTCTCGACTCGAACATGGTCGTTTGTGTAGACCTGAGTCAGGTTTACTCACATGTACACTAAGACTGAATCTGTGACATCTCCAACCACAAGCCTTCGAACTCCAGTTCAGAGTGAAAACCAAGGGCGTTTTCAAACAACTTGGTTTTATCTATCCGGTTTTATTCTCTCGGCAGTCCCCGGAACTCCCCGGTCACTTCGGATTAAATCCGATATTGCCCCGAAATGGAGAAGACGATGACGACGACTACTACTACTGCTACGACGACGACAACAACAACAGCAACAGCAACAGCAACAGCAACAACAACAACAACAACCACAAACAAAAGCAAAAAAACAACAAAATGTTTTAGAATGAATCCCAATGCCCGGGACCCCAGATGCAACACCTTCACCATGAGCATGTTGGAGGATTGTCTACGCTAAGAAAATTTGATTTCACAAGCAACTGCTGTGTTGACCGAGGTTTCTACAAAGGGCAATGCGTCTGGGGCACATTGAAGTGGCAGCAGAGCTTCTGAAGAAGGCAGCAACAGCAAGTAAGAGGGAAGCAATGGATGTAATGGGGTATAGCGGGTATGGTGGGGTGTAATCAAGAATGATGGTCCCATGGGTATAAGGATAGAATGAGATCTAGCAGAATTTCTTGAGAATGGCCGCGGATGGGGACAGCTCGTGGCATTACTGTAGAAGATTGTAGAACAGTTGAGCCGAAAAAATAACCCCGCA